ATAAAATTGTCATTGGTTCTGTTATTTGATCATTGTTTAAAAAAAAAAAAAGTTAATTTTGGAATTATATAAAAAAAATAATATTGAGTGCAGATAAAAACTAAATATATAACAATTTCCCCAAATTTTACGAACCACGACACTTTATTCTTAATAAAATCCAAACTTTTGGTTAAGAGAAGACGAAGCTCCTTTCAGACATCTTCAAAGTTCATGCTCAATAATTCAGGTAAAAATCCAACAAAGTTCAGTCAGGTCATCTGGACTGTTTCTTTCTTTTTTTGATGAGACGTTTCGTGCTTCATCCAAAGGACTTCATCAGTCCAAGGAGCCACAACAAACTCAGTCCCACAAGCAGCACACTCACATAGTGGACCAACCAGTTTGCTGGTAATAAGATGGATTCTGGAACCCGCCCTCTACCCTGGTGACTCCTCTGAGGCAGCCATAACCAATGTGGATCAAAACATTAAAGTTCATGCTCAATAATCCAGATAAAAATTCCAACAAATTTAAGTCAGGTCATCTGGACAGTTTTTGACTAAGTCCTTTGGACGAAGGACGAAACGTTTTCCCCACTAAAAAGTTAAGGCAGGTCATCTGGACATTTTCTGACTAAGTCCTTTGGATGAAGCGCAAACCATTTTCCCCACTAAAGAGTTAAGGCAAGTCATCTGGACAATTTCTGACTAAGTCCTTTGGATGAAGGATGAAACATTTCCCCCCCCAAAAAAGTTAAGGCAGGTCATCTGGACAGTTTCTGACTAAGTCCTTTGGATGAAGGATGAAACGTTTCAACAACAAAAAAAGAAAAAGAAACTGTCCAGATGACCTGACTTAACTTTGTTGGGTTGTAGACATCTTATTTTTTATTTCATGACCACGTCTTTAAAAACATTTTTTAGCAAAACATTAAGAATTAATAAAGAAGCTATAGACTGAGCTTTGTGGGGCTTTATTGTAATAGCTTCATGCCAACACTGTTATTTTCTCACCTATTAACTCATTTTTAACAGATAATGAATGTCTGAAAAAAAAAATATATATATTTATAACCAAACTGTTTGTTCTGTTCTGATAAAAACAAACAACAATACTAAATAAACATGGTCTTTCATTGTGTTTCATTAGAATAATGTGTCATAAAGTGCTGTCAAAGAGGAGCACCCCACCTGGAAATGACATCAGTCTTGAGCTCATAGAAATGTGATGCTTTTCTGTAGACAGTCAAAATATGAACAAAAGAAAAATACAGTAACAGCAAATACCAGAAACTGTTAAAATGACAACCCCTCTGAACATGATGTGTCAGCAAAAATTAAAACATAGAATCAATGCAATTTGGAGCATCATAATAAGATAATAATTATTAAAACTTTTAAAGCAATTTCCAGCAAACTACATGAAAAGGAAGTTTAGAAAATGTCCTACCCTTCTGACCTCTAGTCAGAAGTCTTCTTGGCTGCAGGCGAGTGATGCAGCACATCAGGGGGCTGCTCCCCAACAAACAGCAGGAGTGCCCTGGTGAACGTTTCCAAGTAGGATCGGAAACGAGGACATTTTTTTCCCCCTTTTTTCTTCTTCTTCTTCTTCTTTTTTATTTAAAGCAACTCCTTCCATGGGCAATTTTCCCAGGACGACCCCATTATTATTCCACAGAGATGTCTGCCCCCTCCAAACCCTATGGGTGGTCTTTTTGAAGGCAGAAAGAAGAGAAAAAGAAAAGGAAAAGGCTTTTTAAAAAATCTGGGGATACAGCCACGGTGACTGGACAACAATGACATAAACGATGATGTAAAGACGTAAACAAAATGAAAAGTTAGCACAGGAAACATATTTCACAAACATAATTGCAAAAATCCAGTTATCTGAATGTGTGTAGGTG